TGCCTGCCATATGCCTGGTGAACCCCAAATAAAAAACCTGCAAAACTACTGAGGACTCTGACTCCTCCTTTACCCGATCTGCATGGGATCAGAAAACCTGCCTTGTGCCCTGTCCTGCCCCTTACAATTGGCGTATGTCGGCAGGATCCATGCAGACGGGTATTGGAGCCCTCCGAAGACCTGGAGGGACTAAGGAGAACAGACTTTGCCTGTGACGACGCTGGAGGCACCATGGCGGTATAGAAGATGGATACGTCCACGAGCTACAGGATGAGACCTGGCGTGAAGGAGACGCCCGAAAGGACCAGCCAACGACACCGGAAAGGACCAGCCAACGACACCGGAAAGGACCAGCCAACGACACCGGATAGGACCAGCCAACGACACCGGAAAGGACCAGCCAATGACCCCTGAGGCAGCAGGCCATTGCTGAAGCAGGGAGAGGCCAATGGACTGATAGACTGATGAACTGATGATTTTGGACTGACAATCCCGCCAGAAGGCGGAGGACCTTAGCAGGTTATGTTTATTTTTTGAGAATCTGGGGGTGGCCAGTGGGCCTAGATGGCCAAAAGCAGCCTGTGTATGCCCAGTGGCCAGGTGGAGGAGAAAAGCCATCTAAGGTGGCAAAAGCTGGTACTGATGCTAAGTTGAGAAGCCCTAAAGCGGCTGTTAAGCAGCCTGGGTATGCTGAAGCCCTGTGAGTCTCGTAAAATCACCTATGGGTGATGCCCTGCTCATTCTTGAGTGAGGGTGAGGAGCTGAGGAGCCCGTCCTTGGGGGACGGGTGGGGAATGTGGCTTGGGGTAGAGCCCAAGCCAAATGCAAAGTTTGGATCCCCAACCCATGTGCTTGTGCAGTGGGTTGGCTTGAGAGCAGGGGTCTGTGAGTCGCATGGGTGGCCATGAAGGCCGAGTGTTGGAGCGACTGCAGACAGAAACCCTGAGGGTTGGCGATTACCCCCAACAGAATAAAATTGCCAATCCCAGAGCTAGTGCATCCTGGGGGTGGATGCGGTGTGTGCCTTGTAGCCGAGACTACAGCCAGAGAAGGCCAGGAAGCCTGACGGCTCCTGGTGTGATATAGCAGATGCCGTGTGTGATTTCCCCTCCCTCGCATGAGCAGTGCCTTCGGCAGCAGATTTGGTGGCTCATCTGCTGGTACCAATAATTGTCTTTTGCACTTGGTTGGTGCCCTGCCTGGACTTATTTATGTTCTGTTGTATTTTGTTATGTTGTATTTTGTTATTTGATGTATTTGCTTTTGTGGGCCATGGCTGCATTGTTTGTTTGCTTAGAAAATTGTGTATATATGTATAGACTGTATGGCAGAAAACCCTGAGGGGGTGGACTGTAGGGTAAAGAAAATATCAGGCTTTTCTGCCCTTCCGCCATCAGGATAGATGATGGATCCTTGTCCTGAATGCATGCCTGATGGTGGGCACCTGGAGTAGGGTGTGGGCATAGGTAGATGGGATTCAGCTGAGCTAAGACTGTGCTTTTAAGGGCAGCGTCACGGGGGGGACGCCAGCAGCCCCAGCCAGCAGCAGCAGAACCTGAAGGAGAAGCCGAAGCAGAAGCAGAGAACGCCAGAGAGCCCAGATAGAGTGAAGACTTGCTGGGGGCTGGGAGGCTGGCAGGCCTCCCAGCCCCCCAGCCAGCACCCCTGCCTGCCATATGCCTGGTGAACCCCAAATAAAAAACCTGCAAAACTACTGAGGACTCTGACTCCTCCTTTACCCGATCTGCATGGGATCAGAAAACCTGCACTGTGCCTGGTCCTGCCCTTACAGTGATCTTATGTCATGTTCTTTAAATATTTATGAATAGGGTCTGCGATGGAAAATCACATGCATTGTACATACACATGTGTGCGTACATGCACATATACATATATACCTGCAACTGCACTATTTTTGCTCCTAAAACTAGTGCCACCTGTTTTTCTCCCCACAAATGTGTACGGGAATTTTCCTCTTAGCCAGAAGAAGTGCTCCTAGATAGGGGATTTACTCATGCCTTTGAGTTTTTTTTCTTCCCCTTTAGCTTTAACACAAGCTTTATGAACAACAGATGTTTAGGTTTTGCTTGAAGTGAATATTTTTCTTCAAGCACTGGCAGGTGTGTTAAATCTGTAATTTGTGTGGTCCTGACATAGTTTTGTTTTTAGGAGGTGTAGGGCCAACTCCTTAGCTGTTGTAGTTTTTAACAGACTGATTTCAAGACCTAAAAATAGAAAGAAAAAGTCATTTGCAATATTTTAGAGGGGTTGTGAGAAAGTAAGAAATATGAGTGATGAGGAAGACAAAAATGTCTGCTTTTTGTCTTAAGTTCTCATTAGGCTCAAACTTTATCCAGGCTTCTTTTCCCACTGGTTGGTTTAACCATATTAAAGAATTTGGCCTTCCTGGTTTATTCTGAGCTCTTCACCCAGCACCCTCTTTGGGCAAACTTGCTGTGACCCTTACATTCACTTCCCCCCATGATTGAGTTTGCAGTTTTCCCAAACTTCTGTTCCACAGGGCATTCCTGTCTCAGGATTTTTTGGAAGAGTTCATGCTTTACCAAGAGCAGGCCCCTGGGTGGCCTCTGATCCTCAGTGTTCTATGGGAGAGCTCAGGGGACAACCCCCAGAATTTAGCAGCATTGCACTGGAGCTCCACATCTGTGACAGGATAAATATTGGAATAGGGGGTAGATGGGAGAGACCATTGTAAGTTGAAACTTGGGCACTGTTTTCCCTCCACTTAATAAATTAAAGCTGAAGGAATATTTTTGTTCCAGTCTCTTGAGGTTTCAGTATCTTCAGAGTTGAGTTGAGCCTCTCGCATTTATTCCTCTCATGTATACCTTTGACTCACTCTCTCCAGGGTGCTCTCCTCCCACTGAAAACATGAAACCAAAATGCTTCTCTTTGCCCCTGCTTCCTCCCATGGTACCATCTTGCCTTATTGCACCTTGCCACCAAATGCATGTCACCCCCACTATCAGGCCCGCGTTCTTATCTCACATTCGTGCTCAGCTATCACAATCTGGTACCCTTACTGCATCCCTTTTCAAAATGCACTTTCTCCTTGGAACCCTGGGCCTCCTAACACTACACTTTCTCTGCACCCCTTAACTCTATTGCAGGTTTTTTTTAAATTATTTTTTAAAAGATTTATTTATGCATACAAGAACTAGGGTTCAGGCCAGAGGTGTGGGGGTGATGAGAGGATTCACCAGAGACAGAGGGGGGAGCAAATCTACTGAAAAACCCTGCCGAGGGGAGCGTCAGATGAGACAGGAGGGGTCTGCTGCACCATGTGGGTCAGTTCCCTGGCTGGGGATCGAACTCACGCTGCAGTGGCTACCAATAGCTTGATAGCACTGAAACGTAACCCCTTGTGCCACCGGGGAGGTCTTCTAACTAATATTGATCATACTTCTGTCTTTTGATCTGCCTCTTTTTGTATTGATAGATGATCAGAATTGATTAAAATTGTTCTCTTCCTGCTTTTACATTTGCTCTTCTGTGTCAGGAATTCTCTGTGTAAGAACCTGAGATTGCTACTCTCCTACTCCAGAAGCAGTGGAGAACCAAGCCCATGTGAAATCCGGAACTCAAGGATCCCATTATTGTAGCTCACAGTTCTTCAGAGCCTAATTTCTTACCTCTTCCCTGAGAGGAGGGGCAGGTCCAGGCTCACCAAACTGCATTCTAACCCTGCACATGCCATGCACTTTCCTTTTTCTTTTTTAAAGATTTTATTTATTTATACAAGCACTGGGTACAGTCAGAAGCACGGGAGGGTGAGAGAATTCACCAGAGCCAGAGCTGGGAGCAGCGCAGGCAGAAGGACCGAAGCACACTGCTGAGGGGAGCAGCGGGCGGCAGGAGAGGTCTGCGCGCCATGTGGGACCCTCCTCCAGTGGCCGGGGAGCAGCCGGGGATCGAACCGGCGCTGCAGAGGCTGCGGGCAGCTTCGCAACCCAGCGCTCAACCGCTGCGCCACCGGGGAGGCCCCACTTTCCTTTTTCATCTGAAAAATTCCTACCAGAATGTGAAAGTTCAACTCAAAGGTCCTTTGGGAAACACCCTTCCCCTTGGCACTTAAGCAGAATTAATCACTCTCTTCCGTGCCACCAGAGGATTTTCCATATAGTTCTATTATACCATTGGGCAATACAGTGGTTTGCTTGCTAGTCACGGAGCTTGAGGCTGGTAAGTAGAACAATGTTGTCCTGTTCATCTGATGACCTGACATCCATCTATTCACCCATCCACCCACCTTTCCATCCACTCATCCATCCATCCATCCATGCTTTCATCCATCCATGCATCTACCCATCCACCCACCTTCTGGCCATCATTTTGAGGCTAGCACTGTAACATCCCCTCCAGTGCTTAATACTGCATGATTCTAAATATTATTTAACTTCTCTGTCTTGATCAGTTAAATTTCCAGCACCCAATAACTTAGTAGGTGCTCAAAATTAGTTGAATGAGCAAATGAGTTAATTTGTAGAAATGGATGATGAACTTAGTAAAGGAATGGTAGAACACCAATCCCCATCTCTCACTTTTTTAAAAATTATTTACTTGAAGTAATTGTATTTGTACTGAACTTTTGCAGCAGCTCCAATGATTTCTTTCAGCCGCTGCAGAGAATTACCACTTACATACATGCAGTGTTCTCTACTCCACAAAACATTTTTTTAATTTTATGCTTTTTACATCATTTTTCATTTTTGCACAATGGATGCATTTTCATCTTGGTTATAGTCCCCATACAATTCCCACCCCCCTTGTTTTGATCCTACCCCCTCCTACCCCGCCCCCTGCAGTGCATGTTTGGTTTATAGTTGCTTGATGATTTTTTCCCTGGTCCCTATTTAGGTTTTCTAAATTCCTGCTATGAGTGAGACCATCCGGTATTTTTCTTATTCTTTCTGGCTCCTTTTGCTGAGCTATAAACATATGCTATAAACATAGGGGTGCGGGTGCCCTTTTGAATTAACGTTATTGTGTCCTTTGGGTAAATACCCAGGAGTGGAATTGCTGGATCCTATGGAAGCTCCGTCTCCACAAAGCATTTCTTGAGCAACACAGCTAGCAGACACTGGCATGCTTAGAGCAGTTAGGTCCTAGCAGTAGCGAGTGGGCTGGGCTGGAGGAATCTAGTTCGAGAGACTGAGACTGTGGACTCCTGGGTCCTAGACAGGCCCTCCCTGTCCTGAGCAGGAACACACCAGCAGCAGATCTGGGCTTAAATTAACTTTCAAAGCAGCCATTGTTGTTATTCCCTTCCTTCTCCAACACCTTTCAGTCCTTTTCCCAACTTTAACTTTTCACCTCATGTACACTCGCCCCATTTTCATCTCCACTGTCCAGTCCTAGAGCCAGAAAGCACAGGTGTGGGAATGGGTGGACATTCTCCTGGACAAGAGCCAATACTCTAAGCATTTTCAAATTGTCCACATAGCATCAAAGCAGACACCAACTATGACATTATCTACGCCCTTTCCAATGAAGGCAACTGCCATGGGTTTGCTTTAAAGTCTTTATTGTCCTGAATATAAAAGACAGAAGTCCTCTAGGATATAACAGAGTTCTTTATGTGGAAACATTATTTTTTTACAAGTGAAAAAATAAATACCTCTTGGAATAAAGGCTTATATGCTAATATGTGCCATAAAAAAGTAGAGTTTTAATATCTGACAAAATGTCTGTGCAAAGAAACAAATGCATAAACACATTACTGCTACATTAAGGCAATATGAAAAGTATACTCAGAAATTTCAGTAAAGTGACAGTGTAGGTTCCTAGCTTTTACTGAGCTAGTATTGCACCCAATAAGGTCATCTAGGTTTCCCAACAGCCTAGAAAACCCACAAGCTGACCGGCGTCCAAAATGCCCAAGTGGGAGTGGAAAACATGATTAAGAATACAAAACCAAAAAACCTGAACCCCCCCAAGACATACGATGGGGACAACCAAACCAAAAGTTAATACTTCAGCATTTACTTAAAAAAAAAAAAGTATACACTATCTATTATACCTATGATAAGGCTGTAGAAGGCTCGAGCAAAGCAACCCCGCTGGGTGGAGCTAAAGTAGAGGGCTTGGGAGAACTGAAGACCGCCCCCCGCCCCAGGTTTGGAAGCTTCATCTCTGCCAGCAGGGTTCTCTCTTCCAAAGGAACATGCACCCCCTTTTTAATCTGAAAACAAAATGTTCCACTTACTCAAGAGGCCCCAAGAGAGCTTGCCTACTGCACAGAAACCTTATAACCAAATTGGTAGCATCTTATAATCCAAAGGCTTGGAGTACGGAGAGGTGGTTGAAAAGGAACTGGAAGCCACCCACACTGCTTCCCACTGGCCAGACTGGTTTAAATCTGACGCCCTGGTTGTCGACGTTTTAAAAGCACAGAATTGACTGTTCAATCTGTCGGCCTTCCAATCATTCTCGAACGAGTTATAAAACCAGAAATGACGTGAAAATGACTACTTCTTTAAGAAAGATTTTCCTGTTAAAAATGTTCGGAGTCCCATGACCATACAAAAAGAACCAAGTAAATTCTTAAAGTTAATTCTTACAAACTTTGCTGCAGGTAGGAAACTTACCTGGGGATACATTAAGGAGATTGACACCAACATTTTCTAAAAGGTATCCACTTTTTGGCTAGGTTGCCACTTAACTGACATCAAAGATTTTACTTATTCTTTTACTTGCTCATAAAAAGAATTAAAGTCTAAGGAATATCTCTGCGTCCCAGAACTCCTCCTGGTCCCCTCACTGGACCCGCGGGGTCTAAGCATGGTATGTTCTGGCGGCGAGGTGTAGCTGTCTTCTTTTCCTTCTCGGTTTAAATGTTGCATGGCAGAGGGAGTGGAGTGGGAGTATTTCTTTTCTCCACAACCTATTATTTTTATAGTTCGTCATAGTGCAGTTCATGGGAAAGTGGCAGGTCGCCCAGATCAGATCACAGTCAGGTTGAGAAGACTGGTGTGGGTCGGGAGGTAAACGTGCTGGACATGCTCCACTCGTGACCTGCATACCGGACACGACTGGAAGAGAGAAGCCAACAGCACCTGTTAGGGCACCTTTCAGGATACCTGTCTGCAGTGTTCACCTGTGGCACCTGTTACTTTACATTTTCTCTTTTCTTTTTTTAAAAAGATTTATTTATTTATGCATACAAGAACTGGGGTACAGGTCAGAGGTGTGGGGGCGTGAGAGGATTCTCCAGAGACAGAGTGGGGAACAGAGCCGTGGATTGACTGAAATACACTGCTGAAGGGAGCAGCGGGCGAGACAGGAGAGGTCTGCTGCGCCATGTGGGTTGCTCCCTGGCTGGGGCTCAAACTCGTGCTGCAGTGGCTGTGGATAGCTTCATAGTGCAGTGCTTAACCCCTTGCACCACCAGGAAGGCCCCTACTTTCCATTTTCTAAGTGAGAACACAATTACTTCTGGTTACGGGCTCCCCAGTGGCGCAGCAGTTGAGCGCTGGGTTACGAAGCTGCCCGCAGCCTCTGCAGCGCTGGTTGGATCCCCGGCTGCAGGTGAGGGTCCCACATGGCACGCAGACCTCTCCTGCTGCCCGCTGCTCCCCTCAGCAGTGTCCTTCGGTCCTTCTGCCTGCTCTGCTCCCCGCTCTGGCTCTGGTGAATTCTCTCACCCTCCCGCACTTCTGACTGTACCCAGTGCTTGTATAAATTAATTAATTAATTAAAAAAAATAATTACTTCTGGTTTTCAACCAGTGGACACCTTTGCTTTCTAGTATGTTCCAAAGTGTATGCTTTACAAAGGATTACAAAGAGTAGCTAAAGAAATGTATAAACTGAAGGAAACGACTTAGCTTTAGTTAAACTATTAGATGAGGCACAGTAAGAAAATGATGATTAAAGATTTCTTGCTGTGCAGGAAAACTGGCCCCAGCATGGGCAGATGCGGAGCCATGGGCAGCGGCTAATAAGGAAAACCTTCCAGACACCATGACCTTGGCGAGGCTGGTGGACACAGGCCAGTGCCACAGGCCAGCGAGTGCGGCTCTGCTCCTGTCACAGGTGATGCTCCACATTCTGGGCTGGTCTCTCAGCAAGCATGTGCCCTTCCTCAGCCCAGGAGGAGTCTCAGGATATGTGGGTGCAAAAAGGCAAATCCATGACTACTTCTGGGGAACTAAGCCATCACAGGAGCACACTCCACTCCGAAGGACACAGGCTTCCTGCTGGCTCATTATGTAGCCATAAAAATAGTTCTGAAATTAGCAGCTTCAGGGGGACTAGATGTTATTTAGGGCTAGTTTTACATAAAGCCACAGTGACAGTTCTAAGAAAAGAAAAAAGAGTCAAAAAACATTTTAAGAGTAAATGTAAGGTGCAAGAAAGAAAAATTACTATATTCAAGTTGATTTTATTTTTTATATCAATGTTATAATTAGTTCAACTTGCTAATAGCCAATGCAAGGAGCCCTGAGAGGCAGTAATAAAAAGAAATTGATCACAGGGCCTCCCCCATGGCGCAGTGGTTGAGCGCTGGGTTGTGAAGCTGCCCACAGCCTCTGCAGCGCTGGTTCAATCCCTGGCCGCCGGGCGAGGGTCTCACATAGCGCGCAGACCTCTCCTGCCGCCCACTGCTCCCCTCAGAAGTGTACTTCGTCAGTCTGCCTGTTCTGTTCCCTGCTCTGGCTCTGGTGAATTCTCTCACCCTCCCGTGCTTCTGACTGTACCCAGTGCTTGTATAAATAAATAAATCTTTTTTTAAAAAAGGAAAGAAAAAAATTGATCACAAATAATCAGAGTAAAACATCAACGATGGATAACTGTAGTTAACTGTAACTCAAAACTCCAGTATTCCTTTCCAAATATTTGAGGTAAATAATAAACAACATCCTCCTCAGTGTCAGAAAGCAAGAGACAACATGAAATGCAGAGGAAGTCCGGAGCCAGCCCTCTGGAGGCCTGGATTCTGGTCCTTGATTCAGCCACTAAACTAATTTGATACTCAGTCGAGTTTTCAGAACTTGAAGCCTATGATTCAGAGTATTTACACTGTTGGAAAGAATATGCTAATTAAGGTATCAAAACAGAGATAACCAAATGCAGATGAAAATGAAAATTGGTCTCCAAGATCCAAATAACAAGGCGAAACCATTCTTCTGGCAGAGAACTCAGTGAGAACACTGAGCAGTTAAGAAAATAAAAGTAACAATAATAATTCTTTCTCATGAATTTTCTATTTTTCTACGTTAAAATTTTCTATGTTAAATCCATTTTTCATATTTATGGAGAGGATATTTTTGTATCAGTTGGACAGAAACAGATTTATAGTCCAACATTAGAGTAGCTTTGAATTTAAATGGAAAAGGTAAATCCTCTCAATAGGTAAAAATTCAAGCAATATAATCAATCTTATGACTCATATCTTTAAAGAAAGATGGCAGCCGTGAAATACTCCAATTGTTGTGCAGTGATTCATGGAACGGAACAGAATGAACAGAGAAATGTACAGGAAGAGATGGAGAACTGGTCTTTTTTTTTTTTTTTTTAAGATTTCTTTCTTTATGCATACAAGCGCTGGGCTACAGGCCCAAGGTGGGGGTGAGTGTGTGAGAGAGGATTCACCAGAGACAAAGCAGGGAGCAGAACAGGCAGACTGACTGAAATATACTGCTGAGGGGAGCAGCGGGTGAGTCAGGAGAGGTCTGCTGCACCATGTGGGTTGCTCCTTGGCCGGCCGGGGATCAAATTTGTGCTGCAGAGGCTGCGGACAGCTTCATAGTGCTGTGTTTAACCCCTGCGCCACCAGGGAGGCCCAGAACTGGTCTTACGTGTTTGGAGAAGCTGTATATGGTTATGCATCTCAGAACAAACCTAGAGTGAGAGAGGACTTGCATCCTTGCAAATTCATATTCAAAATCTCCACTGTGAGGAAGCTCTATATAACCAGGTAGAGGATCCACTTAAGGATGCTGCTCATCTCCCTCTCTTCTCTGTGATCATAATCAAACTGGCTCTGGTAGCAGAACAGAGATCACACATGAGCTTTTCCACATGGATTTGGCGTCACTTCCACTGACAGCCAAAGACTTGAGTTGTAACTAAAGAAAATGGTTCTCATAACCCTGGAGGACACTAGTCAACTACATACTGCAATATTTATACTCTGTATTTTATGGTTATGCAATATTTATACTCTGTATTTTATGGTCATGAAATGATTTCTTCTTGTTGAAGTAGAAACATAGAGTGTGCTGTTAGTGGTAAGCTTTACAATTTACACATTATAGAATATTGAGAGAAATTCATGAAAGTGGACAGACAGATGCTAGACTATAACTAATAAGGTAGCAGAGTGAAAATCTTTGGACCATGGAGACCATATTCTTAGCTGCACCAGAAAAGAAAGAAAAGAGTATGCTAATCTCAAGTGTCCACAGGGCAACACCTTTGAAGACCCTTGTAGGTGGACACGGGCTTTATTTGGGTCTGAGTTAAAGGGCCAGCTCCTTAGGTGCCACAGCTGGGAATGAGAGGGATACAGCAGGCCAGCAGAGCCCTTACCTGGAGCTGGGAGGCACAGCTCTCACAGCACACAGTGTGGCCGCAGGGACAGAAGGCCGAGTTGATCTCCTCCTCACAGCACACCATGCACAGCATGGCTTCCTTCAGCTTGCGCAGCTTCTCCTGGAGGGCTCTGGTCTGCTGGCAGCTGAGGCCCTCACAGCTGCTGCAGTTCAGCCCGTTCTCTGAGGACTTAAGGGGAGAGTTGGGGGGACTGTGGTCGCTCCTCGAAACCAGGTCCACGACGCCGGCGTTGTACAGAGCCCTCCTGGCGTGGTCATAGACCTCCTTTGACGTTCTCTTAATATCAAAGACATACTTCTTGCCGAGGTTAATGTTTTCATTCAGAAAGAGAGACGCCAGGTGGCCCTTCAAGTCTCGGCTGTACTGCATCATGACGGCGCTGGTCACCGTGTCACACCTGCGGGGAGAGAGCGACACCCACGTCAGCACAGCCAAGCCCAGGCCGCGCCCGGCTCAACCCTTCAAACACTGCTGTGATTAAGAGACTCACACCCACAGGTAGTTAATTGTTTGCAAGTTTGAAATGAACACATCCAGTTACTACAATTTCACATGTGCTGAGTCTTCTACCTGTTTCTCAAATGTCTCCAAAGGCAAAGCAGCTATAATGCAGGGCACAGTGATTGTCCACCTCTGGGACATGAGCTACTGTCCAAAGCAGCTTGGGCAAAAAAAAAGGACATTTCTCTTTGAAGTCTTTATTAAACCTTTCTATGAATTTTTAATTCTGCTTCACAATTTGCAGGTGTATTTTAACATAAAAAAGGCTGTTTGCCTGCCTATTAAAGTGCTCATTTTTAATTTCCTAAATATTGGAGTCATATCCCACTCTAAAGCACCCTCTGAAATGGGAGCGTAATACTGTTATTAACAAATCCTTGAGGGTGGAGCGCAGATTCAGGGTAGCAGCTCCCCAGGGAGGAGACACGCTGTATCGCCTGCTGGGCACAGGCAGAGGCTCAGTGAACAGACTCAACCCCTCGGGAGTTATCTGGGGGAGCAGAGGTGCTCAGAGAGAGCAAGCAAAGAGATGAGCAGCAGGATACATCATCTGTGCAGAGCGTGGAGAAGCCCCTTCTGCGGGAAGTCAGCCCATGCTGATGAGGACTCCATGGCTACAGCAGACACGGTATGTTTGAAAGCAGCCGCTTTCTGTCCAAGATTCGATGACACAATGATACAAAAAACGGTAGGAGCCTTGTGGCCACCTGAAAAACTAGCACAGTGGATGGGCGCTGAGTTAAGGGGTGCAGAGCAGTACATACCTGTAGAAAGCATGCGTCTCTGTGATCGCCCGGTAGAGCCCGCTGGCTGCCCTGGTGCTGATCATCTTAAACAAGAGCACGATGCTGTTCCCAGACTCCTTGGTGACAGTCAAGTACACGTTCTTTCCTGACTGGGTGGCCATCTGCACCACAGGGTAAGCTATCCTAGGAGACGGGAGGAGAGACGTGAGCAAGACCAGAAGCGATGTCACCAAGTGCGTCTTTGTAGTTTTCTTGGTGTTCATGGCCCAGCAGTAAAATCAGGCGCTCAGTCTGAGGCCGACACAGCAGCACTCTGCTCCCTAGTTATGAAAGTGCACTGGAACAGCTGTGGGTAAGTGGAGAGGGCTGTGGGAGGGAGTTCTGGGGCGTGTGCAGGTGTGAGTAGGTGAAAAGTGATATTTTTATAGCAGTGAACTTAGTTGAAAAATATTAACTCTGCTCCATTAGGATGCTTGAGTTAGGATTTCAAAAACTAACAGGGGGAATTCCCTGGTGGCGCAGGGGTTAAAGACAGCACTATCAAGCTATCGCCAGCCACTGCAGCACGAGTTCTATCCCCGGCCAGCCAGGGAGCTACCCACGAGGTGAAGCAGACCCCTCCTGTCTCACCCGCTGCTCCCCTCAGCAGTGTGTTTCAGTTGATCCAACTGTTCTGCTCCCCACTCTCTCTCTGGTGAGTTCTCCCACCCCCTGTACCTCTGGCCTAGGCCCCAGTTCTTATATGCACAAAGAAATCTTTTTTTAAAAAAAGCCTAACAAGGCCAATGAAGGCCTGAATAATAGTAATGTACAAAACAAATTAAACCACTTCATTCTTTTATTTATTTATTTATTTATTTATTTATTTATTTGTTTGTTTTTTTGTTTATACATGCACTGGGTACAGTCAGAAGCGCAGGAGGGTGAGAGAATTCACCAGAGCCAGAGCGGGGAGCAGAGCAGGCAGAAGGACCGAAGCACACTGCTGAGGGGAGCAGCGGGCGGCAGGAGAGGTCTGCGCGCCATGTGGGACCCTCCTCTGGTGGCCGGGGAGCAGCCGGGGATCGAACCGGCGCCGCAGAGGCCGCGCGCAGCTTCGCAACCCAGCGCTCAACCGCTGCGCCACCGGGGAGGCCCTAAACCACTTCATTCTTAAAGGATGATTGTCCAGTAGATCCCTGTCCATTTTCTTTTTTCAGGGTTAGAGCTATAAAAGTATACACATGCGTATGTATTAAAAATAAATAAGGGGCCTCCCCAGTGGTGCAGTAGTTGATTGCTGGGCTGTGAAGCTGCCTGGGGCCTCTGCAGTGCCGGTTTGATCCCCGGCCGCCGGCGAGGGTCCCACATGGCGTGCAGACCTCTCCCACCGCCTGCTGCTCCCCTCAGCAGTGTACTTCGTCAGTTTGCCTGTTCTGCTCCCGGCTCTGGCTCTGGTGAATTCTCTCCCCCTCCTGCGCTTCTGACTGTACCAGTGCTTGTATAAATAAATTAATTAATTAATTAAAAAAAAATAAGACTGGGTTTACCTATTGATTGGACTAAAGTCATCTTTACAAATTGAGATGCCGTCAGGTCCAACCCCAATGAGGAGTTTCTGCCCTTCGCTGTCCCTCACAGCATGCCATTCTATGCCATAGTTCTCCATTGCCGACACGATCTGCAAAACCTGGTATTCCGCCGAAGCCTGGCTGGTCCCCTCCAAGTCCTTATGCTTTGCAACAATGCTGTAAGGACACGAAAGGGGCAGAGAAATGAACTTACGCAGTGTTCAGGGATAAATCTGCATCATTTTCACAAGCGAATTACATTGACACCATCATTTATGCATCACAAAAATTAAATACATTTATTATTGATGTTTCATTTAGCAAACACATTGTCTTTGTCTTGCTAATTGAAGTTACCCTGCATTACGACATTACCTAAGTTTCAGGTGTACAGAACTGCAAATCAACACGTGTGTATACTGTTAAGTTCACTTTTGCTAAAAGTTCTAATCTAATACTACTTCATATTCACCAAGATAGCTATAATAAAAATGAGCGATAACAAGTGTTGGCAAGAATGTGGAAAATTTGCAGCCCTTGTTTATTGGCAATGGTAATGTAAAATAGAGCAGCCAGTTTGGCAGTTCCTTAAAAATTAAACTGGAGTTGGGCCTCCCCTGGTGGCGCAGGCAGTTGAGCGCCATGCTGTGAGGCTGTCTGCAGCCTCTGCAGCGCCGGTTTGTTCCTGGCCAGCCGGCGAGGTTCCCACATGGCGCTGCAGACCCCTCCTGTCTCGCCCGCTGCTCCCCTCAGCAGTGTATTTCATCAGTCTGCCTGTTCTGCTCCCCACTCTGTCTCTGGTGAATCCTCTCACCCTCCCGCACATCTGGCCTGTACCCCGGTTCTTGTGTAAATGAATAAATAAAATCTTTTAAAAAAAAAAAGTTCTAATCTATCCTATCTCATACCTTGTTCTCATTTTCCCAGTTTATCATCCCGTCTTTTCCCTACCTTACTGGTAACCACCAGTTTATTCTTGTTTTACTTGTTTCAACTGTTTCTTTTTTCTACATATATTCACATATGAGTGAAATCACACTGTCGATTTCTGTCTGGCTTATTTCACTAAGCACTAACTCCCTCTATATCCATCTTTATTGCAGATATTAGGATTTCACCTTTATTTTTTATCTTTTTTTTTCTCCCCCACCTTTACTTTTTAATAGCTAAATAGCATTCCGCTGCGTGTATAAACCGTATCGTCTTTGTCCACTTGTCAGATGATGGGTATTTAGGCTGTTACAGTTTGTAGCTACTGAAAATTATTCTACAATAAACATGGGGATGTAACTGTTTCTTCAAGTTGTTTCTGTATTTTTGGGTAAATACCCAGCAATGGAATAACTGGATCATACAGAATTTCTATTTTTAATTTCTTGAGGAATCTCCATCCTGATTTCCATGTGGTTGTAGCAATTTACATTCCCGCCAGCAGAGTGCAAGAGTTCGCTTCCCTCCTCACCCTCTCCAGCACTTGTTTATTTTCTTTGGGGAAATCATCAACCTTTCAAGATCTCAACTAGTAAACATTATTATTTAACTATTAAATATTCAGTAGGAAAAACAGAGGATGCTGGATGGGGATGAATTAGAAGAATTATGGAAAATTTTCTTTTTTTTATTTATATTTTTTACATCATTGTGTATTTCCTGTAAAATTCCCACCACCAATTCACCTGTGAAGCATCACCATAGTCCCTTGTGCTCCTCTCTCCCCTGTTTTGATTCCTTTTCTTCCTCCTCCCTAATAGAGTATCTCTGATTTATGGCTGCCTGCTAATTTTGTTTGTTATTTTTTTTTTCCCTGATCCCTTATTTGGCTCCTCTATGTTCCTCTTATAAGTGAAACCCTCCAATATTTTTCTTTTCCCTCTGGTTGATTTCACTGAGCATAATCCCTTCCAGCTCCATCCATGTTGCTGCAAATGGCATGAGCTTATCTTGTTTGATTGCTGAATAGTACTCCATTCTGCATATATATCACACCTTCTCGATCCACTCATCTATTTTTGGGCATTTGGATTGTGTCCATATCTTACCTATTGTAAATAGTGCTGCAGTAAACATAAGAAGTTTTTCTAAAAATAATGTAAGAAATTTATATGTAGGAACTTCTCATGCATTGTTTACATTTACCTTATAAACCTTAAAGATCCCTACCTACCTCTTTCCGTCCATGTCCTTGTGTATTTCCTTATTTCCTTCCCTCGAGTGTGGACTTACTTCTGATGAACAGAATATATGGTGGAAATGACTGGACATCACCCACTGCTGAGAGTAAGTTATAAAGAATTTGACTCCATCTTAGGTGTTCTCTGTTGCTCAGACTTGGATGGCTGGCCCTGGGTGAAGCCAGGTACCACGTGATGAAACAGTCCCTGGGAGAGGCCCACGTGCTGAGTAAGGGACAAGCCCTGCCAACAAGCCACATGAGTCAACCTGGAAGCAAATCCCTCTCTCCATGAAGCCTTCAGATGAGACCATACTCTCGACCAGAGTCACATAAGATCTTCAGCCAGAGGACCCAGTCAAAACAAGTCCAGATTCCTGACCCGCACAATTGTGAGATAATGTTTGCTGTTTTAAGTCACTAAGTTTTAGGGCAACCTGTTACACAAGAATAGAGAGCTAATATGCAGGCTTCTTGGTTTGAGCCTTGCTGGTATGAAGAAAATACCAAAACACTTGGTAGATTTTTTTTCTTTTAGGAGATTTGCATTCTGCAAAGATCAGAGGTTTTTAAAATTCCTGTCATGTAGCATTTCACAAGGGCGTTTATTTGTCTGGAACGATTGGTAGCTATACGCTTTTCAAAGAAAAGGCCAAGAATCTTTTGGAAATAATTGGTTAAACTGGCAATGGCTAGGTCTTAAGCCTCACGAATTATCTGTATATACCGCAAATTCATTTTGCTGTTGGAAACTCTTCTAAATGTGCTAGAATCTGAGTTTCAACACAAGCCTTCCCTGCAGGCTCACCTGTTCAGGGCGGCACTGGAGAGCTCCTTTGCACACAGCTCCTCGTAACTGTACTTGGCGGTGTTCTGGTTGTAGTCTCCAAACTTGGTCTGGGCCAGGAGAGCGCTGAGTTCCACTGCTTGCTCTGGGGAGCATGGGAGGTGGCCTGCCAGGAGGGACTCCCTGATGTGCAGGAAAAAGATATGCCTGCAGAGCAACATGAGAATGAGGTTATGCTGGGATTAACTTGATATCAAACTCAACCTGCTTAGCAATTTCACAATCCCTTTTAAGTAGGGAAAACAGCAATTACAAAAGCCATCCTGAAAACAGTTTCCATGAAAGAACCTTTTTTATATTATGAATATTAAGGTAAAATAAGTCTAAGGATTAAATTTCCCTGGAATTAATTACAAGTATAACCCAAATGAATCTAATGAAGTTTAGTAGCAGTCAAGTTACAAATGTACACTAATTCTATTTTAGCATTATACTTAAAAATAATCAGAAAATATTTGTTAATATCTTGAAATTCTTAAACTTATTCAAGTGACTCCCCCTAAAATCTTTAGTCTTAGTCCAAACTTCTGTCCTTAGAACTGTAGTCAAAGGCCCACTTGCCCAGAGACTACTCCATTTGGATGTTCTTCAGAATTCAATTACTGTTCATTTAAAACCAAACTCACTGTCTCCTCCCAAACCCACCATTGCTCCCAGTGGAAACCACAGACTCACTTCTGATTCAATCCTATTTCCACCTATTTTCTGTCTCTGAAAAATCTTTAAATCATGCTCCATTCTTCTCATTTTTACCTCCTCTGTTACAATATCCTCCCAGGTGATCTCTCTTCTGGACGCTGTGGTAATCCATCAGCTAAGCACCTGCTTCTGGTATAAACCTGACATTTCTCTGCTCAAAATTCTTTAAGGGATTCCCCACTATGTGCCAAGGGAGCATGCACCCTGGGTTCGCATTGCCTGGCTGCAGGCTTCTAATCACATTTCTTGTCATTCCCTCCAGCTACAATGGCGCAGGAGGACAAGTCCTCTTTTTGGAATTGCCAAGTACGCGCATGCCTGAGTCTGGCCTTGCTGCTCCCTCTGTCCTGAAGGCCACTGATTCCGTCCCTCACTTATATACCCTTTTGTCTATATCGCAGGCAAACTTCTTTCTACAGAACAGTATCTGACATAGTCTGACTTCTATTACTTAGATGCACATAAACTGACTTCTTAAGTGTCTCCAACATCAGAGAACACTATATGCAAAGCTACATATTGTCTGCAATCGGTTCATATTCTACCTCAATTTCTTTCTCTTTGAACCTGTCCTCACTGTGCACAATACTATTTTCTACATTACCTGAAAGGTATGGCATATTTAGAAATTCCTGGAAAACTTCAGGTGGTATTGCCTGCCAATCTGTATTACCCAAGATTCTAAACAGAGTGTCTGCACTGCCAGAGGTAGACCAGCTGACGTGGTAAAGTTTGTTTCCGCAGACATACAAGCACGACTTCCTGTGATGACTTATTGGGGCCTCTCAAACTTGCTTAAATGCCCTAATAAAAGGATGAGAGAGAGGGCCTCCATGTTGGCCTAGAGGTTAAGTCTCAGTACTATCGGCCCTACAGCCTGAGTTTGATCCCCAGCCAAGGAGCTAACTCACACATGGCACAGCAGACCTCTCTTGTCTTGCCTGCTGTTCCCTTAGCAGTGGATTTCAGTACATCCATCTGTTCTGCTCCCCACTCTGTCTCTCATCAATCTTCTGAACCCCCACACCTCTGGCCTACACCCCAGTTCTTCTACGCCAAAAAAAAAAAAAAAAAAAAAAAAGAATGAGTCAGAAACTGAAATGCTCTGGACACTACGTATATTCAGTTCTCCTTCTGATCAAGGATACCCTTATCCTAGTCCTCACTACTGCTTTCGTTTGCATCCTACTCTTGTGTCTGACATGCCAGCTAGAGGACAGCATGAGCAAAGTCAGAACAGCAGGAGAAAGTGAGGCTGGAACACAGGGAGAGGCTCTAGTAATGTCTCAAAATAAAGAGCCAGCTACCTTCCTTCAACTCAAAAATGTTTAAATTCAATGTTTTGTGCCTTTGACAATGACAAAGAAATATTTTAAATGATCAAGCTCTGCCAAATACTGTGTTTTTTCCCCCCTTATTCAAAGCCCCTATGAAGAAATCACAGTAAGAAAGCATAATAGCACTGAAAGAAGATAAGTATGGTTTTTATTAACCCAAACATCTGCTAGTCTTTAAAGTATTTCTGACATACTGCTGAACTGAGAAAGGGGTCCTTTCTGGGGCAGAGAAATAACTACAGAAATGACTTGCTTGAAAACAGCTATCTGAGGAATGAGGTCTAGCATTCCCACAGAATCTTGGCACGCTGCTTCGGTCCTCAAAGGGCTTTTAGGTGACCATTTGGTAAACTTCACCTTGGTTAACGCTGCACCTCTGTCTCTGTAGTCACTGGGAGTATGTTAGTATGAAATGAAAATATGCACATATGCTTACATTAAAGAAATTCCACACTGAAAAAATATTAAGGGTATCACCACACACTAAGTGTTCTCAATTTAATTTCTACTGACATGAAAGTGTCTTTTAACTTACCCCCAAGTTAGAAATTAGTTCCTGCTTTATTAAAGAGTAAATAGAGTTTGCAAAAGAAGAGTTTCAAAACTGATCCAATTCTTTTTCCAAGCTGTCCACGCCTACTTCTGGAGAGACAGCTGCCAAAATCAAAGGCAAAGAAGCAGTAACAGAACATGAACAGGTGGGCGGCAGCCTGACAGCAGTGCTGTCTACGGCCTTGTGTGTCAGGATTAAAAAAAAAAAAAAAAAAAGGAGACAATTGGTGTTTTCTACATACTTCACATTCTAGGCTAGTCTGCAATCAAAACCTGTAAGCAGAACAATTCTCCTTACTGTTTACATAAACCTACCGACTGGGTTCCTCCTGTATTTTATAGTTTTGTGGGCTATAAAGCAATCTTTCGATTTCAAGTTCAAGAAATAACGAACATCATGCATTATTGCCTCTTCACCAAGGCTGAGGTTAAAGGTGAACACAACTGGTGTTATCTTTTTAGAGGGAACTTAGAGCCATTTAGCACGAAGGAACGTTTCCCATCAAGGTAACTCTGGCCACAAACTGGGTTTTGTGTGACAAGTTTCTGCTCTCCAGGATGGAGCTGTGACAGCAAAGATCACCAGCTGTAAGGAAAGTCACCAGTGGACTCTTTAGTGTGATCTTTCCAAGCCGGAGGATGACAGAGCTTAGAGACACATTTCTAAGAAGGAATCCAGTGATGGCTCAAATGTTAGGGGTGGTTTGGAATTAAGGTTTCCCCTATTATTTTCTCTTGAACCAGCTGGCCTGTAACTGTCTGGCTCATGGATTAACACCACCCACCCCCCCAAACCTCCACCCCTTTCTTTTTTTATAAAGTAGGGGAAAGGTTACCAAAAATTTCAAAATAAGCAGATGTGGTCCAAGTGGGTCTGCAGTGAACTGTTGTGGTTTATTTTTCCCCTACGGATCAAAAATGGGTGGCCTATTTAATTCAATTTAGGCTCCATGCTAGAATTACATATCTTATAGGCATACCAAACTGCATCTTCTAAACTTTCTTCTAGTTACCCTTTAAAATTCATGATTCTTCATGTTTTATCCAGTTACTAAAGAAAATGGATATTTTCAATTTATGGATCACATTTTGTGCCCATAGGGAGGTTAACTCATGTCTTTCCATCACTGGTGCAAATGAATTCATACTTACTGTAGCATTATGGAAGATTGAAAAAAATTTTTTTGGTATGCCAATTTTTCATTTTAAAACGAGTCATATAGTCTTCACATATTTTTCAAAGTACCTCAAATTTCCTCTATTTTAAAAAATTAATTCTTTTCTATAGCTTTAAGGGATGAAGTTAAGTCTTTCATCTTTTAAGAATGTGTAATCGGTGAAGTTTCTGCTAAACACCAACTTGGCTATTAAAGAAATCATCTAATAATCAAAGCAGAACTTTCTGCAAACCAATGGGGAGGTGTAGCTCTGTTCACCATGGACCGTTACTCTCCATTACTGCCCTCCAGTTATATTCCCTGCTACCTCAATTCAAAGAGCTTTTCGTGGGCCTCCCCTGGTGGCACAGCGGTTGAGCGCTGGGTTGCAAAGCTGCCCGCAGCCTCTGCAGCGCCGGTTCAATCCCCGGCCACCAGTGAGGGTCCCACATGGTGCGCAGACCTCTCCTGCCTCGCCCGCTGCTCCCCTCAGCAGTGTACTTCGTCAGTCTGCCTGTTCTGCTCCCCGCTCTGGTTCTGGTGAATTCTCTCACCCTCCCACGCTTCTGACTGTACCCAGTGCTTGTATAAATAAATAAATAAATCTTAAAAAAAAATTTATTCAAAGAGCTTTTCGTGACAAAAATGTAAAATATCTACATTCAGATTCACTGTTTAACTTCAAATTTAAGGATTTAACCTAAGTAGTTATTTTGAAAAACTCTCCAGTTTCAATAAATGAACATTATTTCTCCCCCCAAAACGTGACTGTCCCTGGCTGTGGTTAGTAGTGGTTTGTCCCACAGCTAGTTTGACCCCCGGTGAGCTGTCTTCCTCAGACCAGCAAGTTATTTAACCACATCAGTATATTTTGAACCAAACTGTGACTGCCAAGTTATATTTAGAAACATCATCAAAACAGAATTGCTCTAAGAGTTTCTTTGTTTTGTATCTTAAATTTCAGGGCAACAAAAATCAGTTCAAGATGGATCATAGGTCTAAATGCAAAAGCTAAACCACAACACTTTTAGGAGGATATAAAGCACAGAGCATCTTCATGACTTGGGGGAGAGGCAAAGACTTCTCAGAACAGTCAGCAAAAAACCCATAAAAGACTAAAATGGGTAAGTCAGACCTCACCAAAATAAAAACTCCCACGCATCAAGAAAACAGGCAAATCAGACAGAAGATTGTTACCTGGGTAATATATAAAGATTGTTACCTGTGTAATATATATGCAACTCAAACATAAAGGTAGCAACTCAATAAAAATAGGTAAATGACAACAGCAGCCCCATTAAAGATGTATGAAAAGCCACCAAACTCATGAAAACGTATTTAACACTATTAATCGAGAGACATGCAAATTAAAACCACAAAACAGCCACACAAAGGCTGGCAA